TATATATATATATATATATATATACATATGTATATATTCAATTTCTGTGCATCACATGTCCCCTCGTAAAGAAAACTAGTGGGGAAAAACAGAAAGAGCGAATAACCCGCGCCTCGTGAAACGTAAAGCACATTCGCATGCCAACCGACGACGACAACGACGACGACGACGACGACGACGACAACGACGTTGCGTTTAGGGGTAAAAAAAATACACGAGAAAAGGGGGAAAAAGGAATGAAAGAATTGATGAAAAAAAAAAAAAGAAATTAACAACGCGGTGTTGTTGGGTGGTTGGATGATGGTGGTGCATTCGCATAAAAATTATTTCCACGTTCTTGAACGACCGACGACGACGACGCGTGCTTGTCATTTCCTCTTTTTCTTTTTTTTTTATTATTTATTAAGATATTTTTAATCTAAACGAAAGTAAAACAAACAAGTCCGTGATGCTACACCTTTGAAAAATTTATTACAGATGCGAAATGATAACGAGGGAGGAGAGGAGGAATTATTTCCGAAGTATTTATAAAATGTTTAAAATAGCTGTTTAAAAAATGATGTACGGTATGCATTTCGAAAAATTTAAATGTTTTTTTTTAATTACCACCGGCCGGTAAAGTAGATCACATTGCGCGGGAATTTAAAAAAATATAACACTTCTCAAATATTATTCAAACAACTTACGTATAATTTTAATACGTTATATATGTAATTATTATTAAATAATACGTTTATTAACTTTTTCGATCACATTTAAATAATATTTCGAAGTATAATAAATACGTATGTGTAAAAGAAGATGGAAAAAAAAAAAGAAAAGAGAGAGAAAAAAATTGTGAACGATGATAAGGAAAAGCGCGTTTGATTCATCATGCTTTTATCGATATCGAGCAAACTTTTGTATAATATATCTTCACACTTCTACCATTACAAACTATGATTATCACTATTACTATATTATATCACTACACTACTACTACCACCATCACTAACAATAACTCTTTCCTTTTTCTATTGCAAATATGTTGCTTTTATTGCACGCGCGAATATCTTTTGTCGTCCAAATGGAGACCGCGAACGCTAAAGGAACGCTCGTCATTTCCGGTTAGCGTTCTCGAGGTTCTTCTTCTTCTTCTTCGTCTTCGTCTTCGTCTTCGTCTTCGTCTTCGTCTTCGTCTTCGTCTTCGTCTTCGTCTTCGTCTTATTCTCACGTGATCATCATTTTATGTATAACGAAAACTCGTTTTCAAAGTTATTTTAACGATGCATCTCAAACGGACGATATCACCATCGATTATACGCGTAAGATTTCAACATTTTTATTTATTTGTTCAATTAAAAAAAAAATAAAGAAAAAATGATTTTATAAAGATTTATCGTAAAGATTTTGAAAAATAGGCTTTCTCCTCTACTTTTTCCTAAACGTTTTATAATTAATTTGATCAAATGATACTTTCATTTGCGTTATTAGAAAGAAATGCATTAAATTGGAGATTTAATTGAACTTTCATTTATTTTTAATATCTTTGTGTTCTTTTCTTGCAAACTTATTTACAATTTTAAAATAGTTATAAAAAAAAAATTTATTATTTTAAAAGAGTATATTAACGAAAATATTTGAAATTTGTAAGGAAAGATGATCTAAACGATTAAAATCGGATAACAATGTGTTATCTCTTCTTATCATCTACATCGTTGAGTGTGTAATGGTTTTGAAGTTAAACAACACAGTTATTGGCTAGAAGAAAATATCACGATTAATGTTACTTTCTAATGCGTTTAATTTTATTTCATTTTAATTATTATTTCAATTAATTTATATGAAAAAAAAAAATTATATCTGTGGTTGGATGTTAAACGTTGGTGAAATTTGAATTTTGGTCAACTTTTCATTGGACAGTAGTGTATTTGGTGATATAGTGGGTGGCACCAGTTCCAATTCGTTGGAAAGAGAGAGAAAGAAATAAAAAGAGTGAGAGAGAGGTATATATATATATATATATATGTCGAGTAATTTTAGCGATGACACTTAGCGCCTACGATGTCGTTCGTTTCGTTGGTTGGTTGGTTGGTCGGTTGGTTCGTTTCGTATCGTTTCGTTCTTAGAACGTTTGTTGGTTTACGCGAATTTCACGTTTCTTCCTGTTGCCCAATTTATCTTTCTTTACTGTCGAAAAGATAATAAAATGTAACGTTAAGGGGGATTTTGAGAAATAAAAAAAAAAACGTGCGATAATATATTTCATAAAAAATTTCTAAGTAAAAATATTTCAACAAAGATAATAATATAACGTTTCTCGAATAAAATATATAACGATCACGTTTGTTTGCCAAAACGATTACGATAAATCGATTGATCGATCGATAGATCAATTTCTTTTTGGAAATTTTTAAACATGTAACATACCAAAATATAATTTATATACTCAATCTCTAATGGCTATAATAATTATTAAAAAAATTTATTTGCAATCCTAACAAAACAGTTCAACAAAATAATCCATAGTAGTAAACAAAATATTCTGGCATCAAATTATTAAACGTTATTTTCAAACTAAGATTTTGCAAAACAAGTATTACGAACAAAAATTTGATTTTCAATCTTCAAAAAAAGTTTAAGCGTCCATCAAAATATTCAAATTGCATTATCGAACGGTAATAAAATCAAATTAAACTCTCTAATTGGTTAAAAGAAAAAATAATTATTTTCAAGTCTACCAATTATAAACGTCGATCAAATTTTATGACATTTCAGCTTAAGAAGAAGAAAAAAAAAAGAAAAAAGATTTAAAAAAGTACTTCGAAAAATAAAATAATCATTTTTGACGATTAAACAACGACGACTCATATTTTGAATATTCGCAGAGATATATAAAAATGTCTTCTTAAGCAAAAAAGTAAGAAAGAAAGAAAGAGACAGAGAAAGAGAGAGAAAACTACGCGCGAAAGCGATTAGATATAATAAACAAAGAAATAGATTAGGTATAAATCTCACATATGACGAGTCTGTTGTGTTTGAGAGTGAGAGAGAGAGAGAAAGAGAATAAGTAGTAAGGTGTGCTTCCAAGTAAGATTCGAATCGAATATGTAATTTTAGCGATGATGATACGAACGGTCCGTAACGCAATAAGCCCTAACACACAAGAGAAAGAGAAGAAGAAGAAGGATATATCAAACTAAAGTTGCGATAACTTATCGGCAATTGGATCACGATTATTTTTATCAATGCCCGTGTCTTCTTTGCGTTTAAATCCGAGGCGGCACACGCGTGATAATAACCCAAGTGGACAGAAATGATAAAAGTGTTACGCTAGAGAACATTTTTTTTCCCCCCTTTTTTGTTTGCCCATGACTATTAGCTTTCCCCCCTCCCTCCCTTCCTCCCTCCCTCCTCATTCACCTCACCACCTCGCTCCCTTTTTTTCATTTCCGATCCACTTTTATATATATATATATATATTTTTTTTTTATTATTTCCAAAGAGAGACGCGTGTAAATATCTATGAAAAAAAAGAAAAAAAGAAAAGAAAATATCATGTAAAGATAAGAGGAATTGAGTTAGATAAAAGACGAGATATTAAATATTAGGATAACTAAAAGTAACTATAATTAAATGTAACAATAATTTTTCTGTTTCTTTTTTTACAGTTAGTATCTCTAGACGGATTGCACAGTGGGGTACCAACTAGAACAACGCCAACGTTGACACCAACCACGTTGAGAAGTATCGAACAGACTTTCCTTGAGCTTACCAGCGAAACGGGGTCTCACAGTCGGGAGGCTGGTTTTGTACCACCTTTGGTAGAACCATCCCAACCGACCCCGGCTCAAACTCAAAATCTGGCTACCCATCATCACAATCCTACGAATAATCTGATAGAAAGTCAGCAGACTTTACCTCAACAACAGGAACATCAGCAACCACCACAACAGCAGCAGCAGCAACAGCAGCAGCAGCAACAACAGCAGCAGCAACAACAACCACAACAACAGCAACAGCAACAACAACCAGAACAACAACAGCAACAGGCTACAAGACGCAATATGGGTGGAAGAAGACCAACCAGGACGATTGGTATGACACCGGAAGAAGAAAGAAGACGACAGATTAGACGAGAAAGAAATAAAATGGCAGCTGCCAGGTGTCGCAAGCGAAGAATGGATCATACAAATGCCCTTTTAGAAGTAAGTGACATTTTTCTTTCCTTGTTTCTTTTCTTCTTTTCATTCATCGTTTAGCTTTTTTTTTTTAACTCTTTGAAGCATGAATTATACGTTGTTAAAGATTTAGTTGTTATACCACCCTAAATAATTAAAATTGATACAAATCAATCTATTAACTTGTTTAATCATTCGATGCATATTTTTAAAGAGAGTTAATAATAAAAATGTTTTGAGATAATGATAGGGAGCCCTTTCGTTGAATTGTAACAATTCCACATGCTTCAAATAGTAAACAAATGAATCATTCGATAATATCAAAATGATCAGTTCTATCGATTATCATTTCCACGAAATGAATTTTATCATCGATCCCTTCTTCTTCTTCTTTTGAAACACCTGATTCGACGACTCTTCAAAGAATGAATTTGAAATTAAGAACGGTATAAAATATATTCTTTTTACGTTCTAGATAGTAACAGCATATCGTCCCTATCGCTATGATTCAACATCCTCGTAGCAATACCATATATAGAAAAAAAAAAGAACTGTTACTATCGTATTACGAGAGTAGAAGAAAGAGATTGTTTATAAAATAGAAGGAAGTGAAAAAGAAGTAAAGAAGGGATCGATGATAAAAAAGAAAAATGATGAAAATAAATTAATGAAGAAAAAAGAAAAATATCATCGTGTTTCGTGTTCGCAGGAAACGGAGGGCTTGGAACAGAAAAAACAAAGCTTGCAAGATGAGATACATCAATTGCAGCAGACCAAAGAAGAGTTAGAATTTATTTTGGAAGCACACAGAACAGTTTGTCGTTTACGTTCGTCCTCGCCACTTGACGTGAAGCCTGTGATAAAGCCGGAAATCCCGTTGGATGATCAATTCGCTGAACCACCAACAACGAAACGTGACACATTGTCATCCGCAAGACCAAGCAGACCAAATTCACTGCCGGTCGGTTTTGACAATAACAACAGACCAAATTCCTTGTCGTTCTTTAACGAATCAGTATCAATACCAAAGGATAACAATAGACCAGATTCATTGAGTTTTAAAACTGTTGAAACACCAGCATTCATGAAACCATCCCTTGACGTTGCTGGTATGCCAATAACAACTCCAACAAGTGGTATACCATTCAATTTCGATTCTCTAATGGAAGGTGGAACAGGATTAACACCGGTATCAACACCTCTAATACCATCCTGCTCTACGCAACAAAGGAACAATTTATCTGCGGTTGATCTTAGCTCTCCTGACGCCAATCCACCTAAATTAGTCAGCTTGTGACGCCAAGATGATGTTATGGAATATGAATCAAACGAGGATGATCCAGAATGAAGAAAATTTTGGCCTGCGATATTATGCAAATATAGAAACTCGCTTGCCATTTAGAAAGAGATGATATATAACAAATTGGGGATTATATTCTCTGTGTTGTACGTGTGCTTTAATTCGCCTTTCTCAGAGATCATTGATCTTTGGGGACTATTTTGAAAAGACAATAATAAACACCAATGAATGTGAGATAAATTTTAGAAAGAGAGAGAGAGAGAAAGAGAGAGAGGAAGGGGGTTATTTAAGATATAGGTATGGATGAAGAGGAAGAGGAGAATAGAAGAGGGAGTTGTCTTTTTATTTTTATTTTTGACGTTTTTGACACGTCAAAGAGACATCACGAGTTGCCATAAATAAGAAATATATAAATATAATAAAATATTGTATTTCTTTCTTCAATCCGTACCCTCATCAAATGTATTTGAGATCACATTGGTGTTTACTTTTTTCTTCTCTTTCTCTTTCTACTTATTTCTATCTCTCTCTTTATGTAGAATTAAAAAAAAAAAGGAAACAGAGCAAAAAATGAAACAATCAAGTAACGTTGCGTTGCTATATATTTTTCTCTCTCGTACGTTCGTGCAATACACATAAACAACACAAATATTACACGTATGAAACATTAAATAATTACAAAAACACTTTTTGTTTTTTTCGCGTCCGTCGAGCAGCAGCAGCAGCAAAAGATCGTTATTTGAGAGATAAAAATTGAAATAAATTGTTCTTCTTTTATATATATATATATATAATATTCCTTCCTCAGGATTTATTATTGTATCGTTGACGATGAGCGGGAGTATTTTTGTACGTATTATGAAATGCGTATGTTGTAAAAAAAAAAAAAGAGAAAAAAAATAAGCTACCTTCTTCGATTGCTGGTAATTATTTAAATCGATGAAATATTGAATCGTCAACAAAAATAATGCGAAAAATATTTTGATATACTTAAAAAAAAAAAACAAAAAGAAAGCTTTTATGATCTTGATCTTTACGATGGAATACATTTAATTGTATATGTATACGCTTTTAATTGTAAAGCATTTGCAACGATTTCGAATCGAGTAATTTGTAATAATCGTAATGCAATTGTACTGATCAATTTAAATGAAATATTTTCTATTTTACATACCTTTGCAAAAGCGAGCGAGATATATTTAACAGATATTGGTAAAAATGGTTTGTTTCTTATTGTCATTTTTCGAAGGCGTTATTAATAAATGGAGGAATAAAAAATTCATACTTTTAATAGTTATACACACCGGTGTGCAGATGACAATGTGGAAGCGAACACAAATCTGCATGCAAGTGATAATAAAGTATATATATTTATATATATATAAGTATAAATATATATCTATATATATATATATATATATATAAATTTTTTAAAAGATGCAAATAAATTAGAATTAATACGAGCATAAGATATTTGTCTCTTTTTATTATTATTATTATTATTATTATTATTATTATTATTATTATTATTATTATTATTATTACTCTAAAATTATTATTAAATAATTATAACTAGCGAAAAAAATTTTATACTATAGATTATAATATACCAATTGAAAGTTTAGAATTTAAGCGAAAAAAGATTAGCTCGTAAGATTAAAAAAAAAAGAAAAGAATAAATAATTAATTATTTGTTCAGAGCGGATTGATCTTTAAAAGCATTAACCAACTAAGAGCTGTTGTACAAACGTTTTTCACCTGATAACAAAAAAAAAACAAATATACAAAGATTAAATTAAAGTCAGGTGTGTTTATGCAATCCACTCTGTATTTTGTAGATTTTGTATGCAACGTTGATGATTGTTAAAAAAAAAAAAAATTAATTCGACGCTAAACAACATTTAATCCCTCCATACATATAATATATATATATATATATATATATACATATATTTTACTATGTATGACCTTTTCGTATGATTCTAAGCAATATTAATATATTTATACGCGACTGCTACTCGTGGTGTGGCTGGTAAGTTTTTGTTTTGTTCAAAAAGCAAAATAAATGATTCTTTTTTCTAACGATACGCTTTAAATTGCTCTAATTTAATATAACAATAATAATAACAATAACAATAACTGCAATCAAGGCGATGATTTGAAAATTGTGCTTTCCAACATCATGCGTAGTGGTCGACAAAAAGAATTGACAATGACGAATAAAAAATTGTAATACATCACTATGATGATAATAATATATTTTCATGCAATCAAGCCGATAGAAAGGCTGAAAGAAAATTGTAATAATTAAAAATAATAATAATGATAATTTAATTGAAAATTATTTTCTTTTATAATACAGTGATATCTCTGTCTAATCGATTAGTTTTATATATATACATATTATCTATTTTTGAACAGTATTTTAATTATAATAATAGTTAAATAATTGAACTAAATTATACTTAATCGAAATATTAAAATCCAGTTATCCTTTTAATAGCTTCTTGTTCATCATTAGACTCCATAGCTTTGTAATGACTAAATTCTATCGTAAATGACGAATTTCCAGACGTGATGATTCTTAGATTTGTCGAGTATCCAAGTAAATTCGACAATGGCACGAACGCAGTAATAATCTGTATGAAAATTATTATAAAAAAAAAATATTATTTCAATTACTAACATTATCTATTAATTCATTCTTAAAAAAAGAAAATTAATATTATAATAGAAAAGAAATATTGTTATTCACCTTATTTCGTCCACGTGTATCAACTTTTTTTATTTCACATCTTCGTTTATTAAGATCTGCAAGTGTTGCAGATGAATATTCATCTATTACAACAATTTCTACGTTCATTATTGGTTCCAATATTATACTTTCTCCATTCTGCATCAACTGGAAGACAAAATCAATGTTAGAAAATATTTTATTTAATTAATTGTCCAATGTTACATTAAATATAAATAGCATTTCAGTTTTTAACATTTAGATACGCAATCTATGATTAATAATACTAGAAATAGAAGAAACAATTGAATTATTTTTCTAAATTTTGAAATGTCAAATCGTATAATAACACACACATTTTCTTCAATTATTAAAATTCATTCATTTTTATAAATAAGAAATGCAAAAAGAACTTTAATGGTCGCCGCATATTTGTCTCTTTTTTGTAGTATTAGTGAAAAACCATTAGAATATTGGTATAAACGTCAATCACAGACAGGATGTATTCGCAAGATTTTAGATACCGATTTACTTGACAATGTATGTTATATTTAATATTTGTTTAAATAATTAAAAAAAAAAAAGATTTTATTAATAATATATAAAACATATAAAAAAAAATATTTTTTATACAGGTTATAGAAATTCAGGATATTCAGCAATTAAATATTTCAAAAACATCTATTTCTTGTCCACCTGATATAACTAAACTTCTGAACATTGAATTACCTGTTCTTGTAATAATATTAAAACATTTTGGAGCCGATTGTCGTTTTCAAATTCAGGTTTAATTTAAAAAAAAATATATATATATATATAATAAACAACAGTACAAATTATTAGATATAATTAAATCAAATTTAATTAATTCCAGGTTATCGATACGAACAAATTGCGTCATCATTTTCAATTTTATACCGGTGATTTTGATAAAAGTCGAAACGTCAAAGATCCAGTTATTTGTCGGGCTAAAATTCAATTGCAATCCGGTTGGAATAAAATAGAATTAAATTTAAAAACTTTAACGGAAACCGCTTTTAAATGTCATTATGTTGCAACGCAGAGATTAGAAATTTGTGCAAATTGTCGATTACGTAGAATATATTTTTTAGATAGACATTACAAAGATTCTGAAATTTCATCCGATTTATATCAAGGTTTTCTCGATCTGTACATGTTGAAATGGGGTATTCATCAAATAGATAACGCTACTCAGACTACTACTAATTTAAAACAGAAAAAAACAAATGTTAAAAATAATAATAATAAAGTAAAACAAAGCATTTTAAATACGAATAACAATGCTGCTAATTCTGACGATATGCATTGCAATAACAAAATAAATCATTCGTTAATACAGACTCAATCGAACGACTGTTCCAAGTTAATAAATAATATAAGAATAAAATCGAATAGTTTGATAAATGAATTTTTTAAAAGACAAAATCCAAGTTCACTATCTATTGAAAATTTCAAAAATCGAACGATTATAAAATCATACGTTGTACCAACGTTTATTAAAAAGTTACAAAAAAGAGACAAATGGGACGACGTTAATTTATTAAATTGGAATAATATTATGGAGAAAACTAAAGATAAATCTAGTCTTCCTTTATCCTCAGACACGCAGAAAAATCATAACGAAACATTTGATAATCTCATGAAGCAACAAAAAGATATTTTTAAGAATAATATAGAAGAAAAATGGACTTACAGATATCTTTGCGAAGGGAAGCATTATTTAAGAACAAACAATACGATGGAAAGCAATACGTCGGATGTAAAAAATATTTCTAATCAATATAACACTAATTTTTTATTTCCATTATCGAATAGAATAAATAACAATCTAGCAAAAACGGCTATTATTCAAAGAAAAATAAAAAAAAATAGAAATGTAAAGTCTCATTAAATTTCTAACTACAATCTTTAAATAAATAAATACAATTATTCAAACTTACTCGTCTGATACATTGTGAAACTGCAGCCGCGACAATTGTGTCCGATGTACCTTTCCGTATTTCTAACCAATGTAATTTAACTCCAGTATCTATAACAGGAGAGTTTAATTTTGGACCATTCATAAGAGAAAGTTTAACACTTTTTTTAATGGCTACCATCATCTTTGGCGATATATCATCAATATTAGATGCAGATTCTCTTGTATGATCTAATTGTAACATTTCTTTTTCCTTGTAGTTTGGTATTAATGACATAGTTATACTAACACTATGAAAAGTTTTTCCTATTTTGTATTCAGAAGAGAAAGTGTCTTTGACTGATTTTGTTATTGCTTCTTTATAAGCTATTTGCAAGGGACCTAGATCAGCATCGATTTTATATTCTGTTCTAATTCTTTCTTTAATAATATCAATATGCAATTCTCCCATTCCAGCCAGTACAGTTTGACCAGTTTCTTCATCTTGTTTTACTTTTAAACTAGGATCTTCTCTTTCGAGTTCTTTTAATGCGATTTCTAAAGGTACTTGTTTCGACAGAGATGGTGGTTCTATAGAACAAAAGAAGACAGGATCCGGTATTGTAGTACCAGAAGTAAAAACATCCATTTTTCTTTCAGATGATGATTCAGTAGATGTTTTCAGCTTTTTTTGTGCTTGCTTCGCTACTGAAGCACTAGTAGTTATCAAATCACCAGTAACAGTAGTTTGTAATCCAGTAGCAGCTGCAATATTACCATTATTAATTTCATTAATTTCTTCGTAATCGTCTGCACAGGCAAGATATAAACGACTACTTTGTTCTACCTTTTCTTTTCCAACATTATATATTTTATCGCCTTTCTTCATAGTACCGGTATAAATTCTGAAAAAAGTTATGGCTCCTCTTTGTTTATCGTGTACGATTTTAAATACACGTGCAGATAAATTATTTTGGAAACAACGATAATCGTTTTTAGACTCATCTGGAAATGGCAAATATAATATGATGCTATCCATTAAAGGTTGTACACCAATATTTTTGTAAGAACTACCGATAAGAACAGGTACACCTTTTCTCGATAATGTAATTCTTTTTAAAGATTCACATATTGCTTGATCTGTTATTTTATTAAGTGATTCTTCTTCTATAATCACATCTGCTAATTTGTCATCTAAATTAGATAATTTATCTATCAATATTTCACGTTTCTCGTTTGCCATATCCCATAAATCTTTGTCTTCGCTCTGTGTTAATTTTTTTCTTAGGAAATCAAGTCCTTGACTTTTTTTATTAAATATTAGTTTTTCTAAACCTATGATGTCTATCAGACCTTCCAAAACATCTCCTTTTTTTATAGGATATTGTATCGGTAATGCATTACAATCTAATTTCAATTCTATAGATTTTAAACATTCTTCAAGATTTGCATCCGGTCGATCCATTTTATTGATATAAATAATTTTAGGTATTTCATATTTATCTGCTTGTCGACAAACTGTTAACGTCTGAGCTTCGACACCAGCTGATCCGTCAAGTATAACAACAGCACCATCCATAACGCATAATGCTTGTTCTACTTCCATAGTAAAATCTATGTGTCCAGGTGTGTCGATTAAATTAAAGCGATAATTTTTCCAATTAAATGTAACTGCAGCTGAAGTTATCGTTATACCACGTTGACGTTCTTGTTCCATATAATCCGTCACCGTATTACCATGATGTACTTCTCCCATATTTTTAATAAGTCCGGAATAAAATAACATTCTTTCAGTTGTTGTTGTTTTGCCTATAAAAAAATAAAATACAAGTGTTTTACTTGTTATTTAAAGCGTCAAGTAAATAATGGAATATAAAAATAATATTAACCTGCATCAATGTGGGCCAAAATTCCAATATTACGTATCTTTTTAACATCATGTTTTTTTGAACTTTCATTTAAACACTTTGTACTGTGTAGATATTGTTTACGAAGTCTACACCATGTAATTTTCATTAATTTTCGTTGTAACATGACGTAGAAGATTCAAACCTATAACAATTAATACCATAAATAATAATACAGTTATGCACATAAATATTTCATTTATAATTGTTTATTTATCAAAATGTTATCATTCTTTTTTAATTCTTTATATTTGTTTCGTTTTTTTTAGGTTATCTTCATAATACAACTTAAGAACGTTCGTGATGCACTCTATCGTAAAAAAGTGAAATAACTTTGTATACATATATATTTATGTTTATATTTTGTCACGCATGCATGGTAAGCATGTGTGTATAATAATAATCATTCACAATCAGTAAATTTAATTATATACAAGTATACAAATTATTTATTTTATTAATTGTTAATTGATAATAAAAAGTATCAATTATTATATGGAAAAGAAGGTTTATGTCACAGTTTGAGGAAGTTAAAAGATAAATTCAGATAGTTGATATTTTGTATATACATTTTAAATTAAAATAATTACATGTCATGTGGTACCTATTATATTAACAATTATAGATACCTACGTTTAATAGTTGCCTCATCAAAATATGTGTTAAACTTTTTCCAATAACGTCTTTTTTTAGGATCTTTATGACTACTTGCTGGACCTAAATTAGACATTAAACCTGCAAAGTATCAACATTACGGTTACTTCAGTTATTTTAGAAAATCTAAGTTCTTCATTAGAAATATTTTAATTACCAGCTTTCTGTGCCATAGCTACCATAGTAGATACTCTTTTTTGTTGTACTGCACATAAGCCAGTGATTCTTCGTGGTAACATACAACCATCAGATCTGACAAATTGACTTAATATAAGAACATCCTAAAAGAAATTCATTTCCATTATCATACTTGTAAGATAAGCTATACAATTAATGGGAAATAAATTATCGATAACAAATAATTATGTAATTTACAGTATGTTTAACGTTGAGATTGGTGGAACATAACGGACAAGCTCCATTTTTAGTTTTCATTAATAAATAGGCATTCTTTTGAGGGCGTATGACAGCTTCAATAATTACATTATTTCCTTCTTTCTTTTCAATTACTAAAGCAGAAAATGTTGGTATTAGAAACGTTAACAATAAATCGTATAGGTTATGGTAATATAAATAAAATAAATTCATTAATTGTTAGATAAAATATTTTTATAAATAAATAATTTAACTTACTTTCTTTGATACGTGTTGTAGCAGATAAAGATATTGCTCTATTATAATTTGGATTAATAAAAGATTTTTTAATTTGCGATACGAGACGACCGAGCGTGGCCATTTTGAAAAACTGTGCACAATACTTTCTGAAACTTTACAATTAAAATAAATGATATATTAACGTTTTAGGAAAACTTAATTACTTTGTTCTTTAATTAATGTAAACAATATAAGATAAAAAATATAAAAATAAAAGAAAAATTTTTAATTGGATACATCGATAAAAAGGTTCCTATTGGTCGATTGTATTCTATCAATATACGAAATGTCAGACGACGTGGCCAATAAAATATGGTGGCTTTCTCAAATAATAAAAGACAAGTTGTCGTGTGATTCATAGCTGTGTAATACAATAAATAAGTATTATAAACAATTTATTATCGTTCCCATTAAAGCTAATCTGAAAAACCGAACAATATTTAAAACGAAATTGTGATCATATTATTTTAATGCAAAATGGGCTTGTGTAAGTGTCCGAAACGAGTAGTAACAACTCAGTTTTGTTTTGAACATCGTGTCAATGTTTGCGAACATTGCATGGTTACTAATCATCCAAAGGTATGTTAATTTAAAATAATATTTTTACAAAATAATATTTATACAGAATTTTAATAAACATACTTCTTATGAAAGACAAATTTATATAGGTTAGATTAACAAAATTTGATTATGTGTAGATAATTTAATTTGACCTTTTAAAGCAATTTAAAATAAATTAATTGAATGACGTATAATTACTTTTTACAGTGTATAGTACAATCATATCTTTTATGGCTTCATGATCACGACTACAGTCCAGTTTGTATACTATGTTCTGGAAATTTAAGCGATGGAGATTGTGTACGATTAACTTGTTATCATATGTATCACTGGGCATGTCTCGACAGATATGCTAGAGAATTACCAGCGACAACAGCACCAGCCGGTTATACCTGTCCGTCTTGTAAAGCATGCATTTTTCCACAACCAAAATTAGTATCTCCAGTAGCAGATGTTTTAAGAGAAAAATTAGCAGGTGTTAATTGGGCACGAGCTGGTCTTGGCTTACCACTGGTAAATTTTCTATATACTTGAATGAATAACATATTCTTATCAATATACTTAATCAGTTTTATTACTTAACTTATATAGCTCAGTGAGGACAGAGAACAAAAACCAGAACCAGAACATGTTACATCAGCTTTGGAAACGTACTCCTATCACAATCATATCATGACAACTTCTGCACCAACCGTAGCTACATCCCGTACTAATAGTAACGTTAGTTCAGTCAATTCCAATATTAATAATGATCACTTAATGAATCAAAAAGTTGGTCCACCATATTCTATAGTAAATATCGAAACATCAATGTCTCTGACTAATCAAATGTCTAAAAAAGTATGCGAAGCTTATGATGATCCTAAAGACATGACCTTTGATCATGATGAAAATAAATATCAAAGGAAGTCAGCTATCGAGTGGTTTTTAAGGTGGTGGAAATTAATTTCAAGGCAACCTGTAAGACGAAGGGGTCAGACTAGTGGTTCCATGCAAAAAAGATATCTTTTGATTACTTTTGCTGGTATAGTAATGTTCTGTATCATTCTCATCCTTCTTTCTTCGTTAGGAAGAATGTCTACGGATAGAGATCCAAGCTACAGTGTGTTAGGTCATCCACATGTTAAAGTTGAAGAAGATAAATTTGGTATGTAATGCTTTAAGAGAGAAACCACGAACAAGATATAAGTCATATTACGAATAATAAAGACTTTATAAAAATATATAACAACAAAGTTACGGAGGAAGAAAGAGATATAAATATACATAAATAAAAGTGTAATAAAAAAATAAGAAGTGAATATTAGTATGTCCAAAAAGAAATGTGCCAGCGTATGGAAATTATGTACAGTATAGTCCTAGCTCTACTATTTGTTAATTTAAGTGTAATTTAAGTTATATAATTAAATTGTGTATTTAATATAATTTTAAGATAATTGTATTGAATTTATAAAATATCAAATGATCATATGTAAAAACAATTAATGCTTTATATCATTATACTAATATATTACGCAATTAAATATATATATATATATATTGTTTAAAGAAAAAAGACATTATCACATATCAGAAAAATAGAGAGAGAAAGAGATTTTAAATGGTTTTAGCCTCATTGCAAGTTAAATCTTATTTAAATATATTCGAGAAAAAAAAGCCTATATAAGAGATCAAGTATATTAACATACCATGAATAATACATAGAATAGCATGGATATTTGTAAATCCAAGTTACTGTTGCAAAGTTTCGTCCAGAAGTGTCTCGATCAGAATATCGATTTATTATGATCTTTTATATATATCTTCAACAATTTATTTTGATTGAACCAAAAATAAAAAACAAAATGATAAATTAACAAATTAATAATATATATATATATATATATATATATATATATATATATATATATGTATATTTAAACACGAAGAAACAAATAACAAACTATATTTCTACTGACCGAGCGAAGATCATTTGAATTCAAAATTAGCGCGTAATGCGTTGTTTCATCATGGTGGACAACGCGTCCCTTCGTTCGTCGTAGCTCTCTCGTATGTATTTATTTCGAAGAAAAAAAATAAATAAATACGAAAATAAGGGAGTAGAGTAGGGATAACCGACTTTAAAACTTTACATTTAACTTGACAAGATGTATCGTACAAGAAACCCCGACGACGAAAGACAAGCAAAAGATTTTATTACAATCGTTCTTCTTTTTATTCGGAGATCAAGAAAATTTGTCTTTACGCGCATGCGTAAACGATCGATCGATGCTGTACCGTTATAAGGGATATTAAGGTATGATTGGAATTTATTATAAATTTCATAAATTATTAATTTTATTTTATTTAATTTTTTTCTCTCTTATTCGATTCGAATAAGAAAACGAATTTTCGTAATTTATTGAGATGATTTTTTGAAGTAGTTTATTCCCGTTTTCGAAGTATAACCATTTTCGTGTTTGTTTTCTTTTAATGTTGTGAGACAAACAAATCGTTTAATTTTCTCTATATCGTATTTATATTATTCTATTGTAATTAAATATTATTTATTATTCAATATTATAATATTTTAACATTTATAAAAATATTTCTTTTCAGAATTTATCAGAACCGATTCTTTGTAAGAAAAATTATTATATAAAAAATATTAGTAAAACGGAAGAAGAAGAAGAGGAAGTATCTTTTGTTTTTTAGTTCCGGAAGTTGTTAATTTTGAACAACAACGTAAATACGCGGGAAATTGAAAATGGGTTTATTAACGTGGCTACGGAGACAATCAACTGCGTTGATCCTTGATGTCAGTGGTGTTACTGGTATTTTGTATTCCTGGCGTACCTCGAATAAATATCTGGCTGCTTTGGTTTCATTGTATTATTTGGGTAAGCTTTGTATGTTGTTCATTTTGTGCTTCAGGTTTTAATTAACTTTGAATTCTTTATCCACAGGTACTAGAACCTTACATTTATATTATAATTCACGGAACCAAATCGAACGTGGTCAAGCTATAGTAATTACCGGTTGTGATTCGGGACTTGGATATAGCTTAGCATTTCATTGCCAATCTCTTGGAGCTGTCGTAATAGCTGGTGTTCTCGATGAGAATGGTCTCGGTGCAACATCATTAAAGGAAAATGGCATCATCGTATTTCCTCTCGATATTACAGACGAAAGCAGTATTATACAGTTTTACAATTTTCTAAACACCTATCTCTACCAAAAGGATTTAAGTAAATTTTATTTTTATTCTTTCTTGAATTAGATTTTTCTTTAAACACGAATTCGTTAACATAATCTGCTTTGAAAAGAAAATATCATTATCTTAAAACCCTATTTTGATATTAGATTAAATAAAAAATATTGGAAAATTAATTTCATTATTTATTTAACGTTAAAATTATTTGGGTCGTACCAAGTATATGAAAAAATAACTTCTCATCAATTTTCATTTGATTATACATTGAATTAAAATATCCAATCAATACATGACGCGCTTGTTAACGAACGTGTTTAACGTATTTTATTTTATTTATTACATTTATGTAGAAAGAATTTAAATAAATATGAGTTTATTCTCTCGTTGTAGCTTTGAAAGCACTGGTAAATAATGCAGGTGTTATGGTGTTCGGTGAATTTGAATGGCAAACTAAGAATCAGTTGAGACAACAATTAGAGGTGAATCTTATTGGGACGATGGAGATCACGCATAAATGTATGCCATTAATAAGAAGAGATTTAAGTAGGATTATCCTTATTTCGAGTCATTGTGGTTACGAACCTTTGCCAGGAGTTGCAATTTACAGTGCAACAAAGGCTGGTATTAATGCTTGGGCAACATCCATTAGGGTTGAACTCAAAAAATATGGCATCGATATTGTCATTTTTGTTCCTGGTTTGTTATTACATTGTTTTATTAACAGAAAGATATAATAAATTTATTTTTTTTTTTTTTGTATTTTAATAACATAACAATAGTTTTCAGTTGATTTTATTGTTGCTGCAATTTATATATATTTATTTATTTATTATTTTATAGGATCGTTCACGCAAGAAAGTAATATTTTATCCGAACAAACGAATAATTTCGATGCAATGAAAGAAATTATGTCGATAGAAGCTGCTGATTTTTACGGCGATTATTTCGACAGATACGCGAAATATTTCGAACCGTTGTCAGTTAAGGATGGACCAAAAAAAATAAAGAATCTACAGATTTATGAACAATTTACTGGAGCTTTGTTAGATCGTTTTCCTTCATCTATTTATAAGTGAGTCAGATCGTCATCGTTATCTTCTTTCTCTTTTTTTTTTCTTTTTGAAGAATAAAAATCTTTGTTTTTTCTAATCATTTTAATAGACGATCGCAACTTAGAGATATTTATTTAAAAAAGACCTTTGATCGGCTAGAATTATTATTTGATAATAGACTACTCTACTTGACGATTATAGTACTGTTTAGATTTTAGAATTATAAAAAGAATAATCGCAAGATTGTAAAAGTTAATTACAAAGTATCTAGTTCATGGAATCTTCAGACAACTTTTTAACCGTCGATAAAGATAAAAAAAATTTTTCACTTTATGATCGAAGATCTTAATCTTTTACACTTACAATTAGATATCTTTAGTTACATCTTTCTTCGTTCTTTTTTTTCTTCTTTTTTCTTTTTTTTTAAATCGTTGATTTTACAATTAATTAACGAATTATATTATTCTTTTATTTTTTTTGCAGATGCGAACCATGGAGATATTTCTTTTATTATACGTTATTCAAAATTACCCCCAATTACATACGCGATCGTTTGACAGAATATTTCGTACAATTACCGCGTTGGAATGAACGGAAGATTATTGGCGATCAAAATAAATTACAGAAAGATACGTTTCAAGGAATTAACGCTAATGGTTACAAATCGTTTAAAGTAAAAAATTCGAAATTTATAGGATAAGAAAATGTCTCTTTCTTTTTATTGGTTATTTTTTTTTTTTTTCGTTTTTGTTTAATTTATTCCAATAAATTGTTCAATTTTCATTCTTTTAAGTTTTATATATAATATATATTTATATGCATATGTGCATATATAATATATATTTATATGCATATGTGCATATATAAATATATACTCTTGCCAAATATAAAACTACTATAAAAATATATAATATATATAATTACTTCGACCGATCGAATTTTGTTTAAATAAAATTTATATAAGCTTCAGACATTTTTGTATTACTTTTTTTTTTCTAACGCAACTGTTTAGTTTAATAGTTCTTTTTATTTTTTTGAAATATCATTATTGGTACTATAATCTAGAAAGCACAGTTAACTACATGTTTTAGTTACGTAAACAATTTCTTTAGCCAATGTAGATCATTGATTCATTCTCATGAATCTATTTGATAAAATGTTACTTATGTCAATAAAAATGCTCACAGCTGGTCAAGCACAGGTGTGCATTTCGAGTGTTTGAAACGAACAAAAGCTTATCTTTTTTGTAAACAGGTGTGTTTGATTAGATATTAGGCTACAATAAATACTCCATTGGAGTAAGCATTGTGATCAGTCAACGAAAAATCTCCACTGAATTCATCAAAATGGCTCTTCTTACTTATGGTAAATCTCATATTAATTTGTGTTTCTAATTTTTTTAATTGTAAGATTAAATCAAACTTTATATCTGTATTTTTAACATCGAATAAATTGCAATATAATTTTATCGTCATTGTACAGTTTACGTTTTGGCTGCATTCTGCATTGCCTCATCTATGCAAAGCGAATATCTCAAATGTTCAAGTGGAGAACCAGAACCATTAGCCTTAAGAATTGAAGGGTGCGATAAATTACCTTGCTCATTGGTCAGAGGTACTAATTTAAAAGCACAATGGGACTTTAAAGTCAGTAAGTATCGATAATAATCATAATCAATTAATTTTTTATCATTGTTGAATAATGGACAAAATGTTTAATCCTGCAAATATTTCATTGAAATATTATTCATTTATCATATATCAATAATATTACAGCTTCTAATACCGCAAATTTGAAACCAAGAGTTAGAGTAACCGTACTTGGTGTTACTACCGATTATAACTACCCATATCCAAATGCATGCAAGGATTTAGTCAACGGTGAATGTCCTTTGGAAAAGGGAGAAGAAGTCACATATTCTTTGTCAATGCCTATTTTGAAAGTCTATCCAATTCTCAAATTGGATATCGAATTTGCTTTGGTTGATGATAGAAACGAGGCTCAAGTTTGTTTCAAAATTAATGGAAAAGTTGTTGCCAATTAAATAATAATATCAAGGATCATCGAGACATATATTGACTATATTATTAATTATTATTATTATTAATATTATTATTATTATGAGCTTACGATCGAAATAGCTTATATAGATGTACGTATTAGATTCTAATCGATTCGGAAATGAGAAATAGTTGTGTAATTTAATCGTCGAAATTCATCAAGGATGGACGCATCTGTGGACGATAATATTAGAGAGAATGCGAGAGTGTACACATATATATAATATATGTATATACATATATACATACGTGTGTGTTACGGATCGATTCAGCAGAGACAGCTAGGAGAAAAGCACTGGAGATAAAGTTTTTGATTTCTCCATTTTAAATGAGATTGTCATTTACCATCTAAGATAATCTTGTTGTAATTCTAATACGTATTTAAGTATAATATATTCTATAAATCATTTTTTAAAATGGAATTTATTGTTATCATTATATGTATATATTCCTTATCCGTATCATGTTTCATTGTTGATTTTCAACAGTTAATCCTGTCAGAATCCAAACTAAACAATAACAATACAACTAATAATAAATAATTTCTAATTTTATTTTAATCACTTCTTTTCTTTTTTATTGATATGTTATTTTTCTATTATTTACAATAACTATTATTATTTTCTTTGTAAAACTAATCCCATCAGGATGTATTAAACAATAATGAATAGAACCAATAATTAGATTAAACAATATATTTTATGTCATATTATGATATGTTGACATAAAAACAAAAAAGAAATGAATAAGAATTATGTGTTATGACAAAATAAAAAAGAGACATAAATAAGAATGAGCTTAAAGGGACGCGTTTATGTATTATGCTTAAATATATGTATGTGTATGTGTCTATATGTATATGTAATACATGTACCCATTGGGGAAAGGAGCGAGATGAAAATCCTGGGGGTTCGGGCGTATGCCTGACCCACATCCCTGCACATCGATCGGCCCGGTCGCCCAGCTTTAGTGGGATATCTACTAGCAACGACATTGAACAAACCGTAGACGTCGTCGCGTACCAACTCTTCTGCAAATTGTGTTAAAATCAAAGACCGCTATTGTAACGATTGTCTCCATCTCTTTCTCTCTCTCTCTCTCTCTCTCTCTCTCTCTCCATCTTCTCTCTTTTTCTATTTCTATTTCTTTGACAAAAGGCCATGGCATTAATCAAATCACATTATAGTTCGATTGCATTGTTAATGTACGTCTCTGAATTCTAATTCGTATTCTGTAAATTGGGCCACACAAGGAAATCAGTTTAACTCGTCTTATTAGATCATCATAGAATTGTAAAGAGAGTATTGATAATGGATGAAAAATATTTATTTTTTTAATTAACATCGATGTTTATATATACTTTTTATTATTGTACTTTTTCTCTTTGAACGATTTTATAATTGATTTTTATTTGATTTTTATTTGATTTTTTGTCCGGATGGAGGAGAGGGGAAGTATTGTGGTATTAATTATTATAGTTTACGAAGTGTAATAAATGTAAGAGTAGGAATTTTAATTCGTCATTTGCATTTAGGGTATGCCGAACTAACGTAACTTGTATTATTAAATAATCATGAGATTTGAAACGCGATATTACTAATGGATGGAAATACGTATTTGTTATTTAAATTGTTTATCTCTATTATATTAGTTAATTATTGATAATTATTGGATTTAATTATTATTGTTCGACGATACAACCAATGTGTAGGGATTTATATTTTAATTAAATTTAATTTTATGTAATTAGTATTATTAGATAATAGGATTAGAAATTTTGTGTGATGGTTTATAAATGTTGAATAGAAAATTTCGAATTGTTGAAATTGTTATTGATATTCAACGTATTTAAAAAGAAAATGATTTAATAATGGAGATTCATATGGTCACGTTTTAAAGGGGATGAGATTGCAGTTAAAGGATTATATATCGACTAATAAATTTTCAATCAAATCGTATGACCATGATCGGCTAGGATCGAATGGCTTTATTGAACGTTAGCCGCCACGAAGGTGCTATTGTTTCTCGACATTTTACAACGCAGCTACTGTTATCTGTAGATTTACGAGCGGTCTCATAGCAAAATTGACGTCACCTTTAATTTCTTACTTTCTTTTCATTCGATTCAACTTCAAGTATTTTCGAGAAAGCTTACATAATATGTTTTTCTTGTTCTTCATACAAATTTTGTCTAAAGTATTTACAATGTTTTATTTTCGTTTGTTTGATTGTTTGTTAAATGCAATATTCAATTGGCAGACGATAAAAAAGAAAACAGTGAAAAATGCATAAAGTGCTCGTTATTAATATAGTCTAAAAGTTATTTAAATGAAATTATTAAAATATAAAACTATTATTTATTTTTGTTTATTTAATTCTTATTATAAAATATACGATATATTAAATAACTGTAAAATAATTAATAAGCGTAAATTATGCGCGCTTATCTATTTAATAATATAATTAAATAAGAAATATTTTTTACGTTATATAAATTTACAGAGAACATTCTAAGATAAAATATAGTTTAAGTTGATAATTTTTTTTTTCGACACTCTATAGATTACAAAGAAAAAACATTCGCAAAGATATTCTTCATCTATTATTTTCTATTCTTTAGAAATGTATAACGATAAAAATCAATCACGAGAATATCGTTATTTTAAATCAGATATATACTTACAAATACCAATCGTTGAATCTGACAGATTTTGATTTATTCGGTTTCTAAGTAAGGAAATCCTGTGACTAACCTTATCGAATTTTCATATATTTCGTTTTAGATCAATCTAATCTATTTTGACGTCAGATCGATATCATTTTCCAAATATATATTATATATTTGGAAATCTATCTATACGTGTTGCATACACATATTTTAATTTATTTCAATGCATTCGAAGAAACAATATGGTGTTTTAACATCAAATATAGAAATAATTAATATACGTTCTGCATGCTTATTTTTATTAATCTCAATGCATTTCATTAAGCAAGATGGTTTCATGTTACCAATATAATATAAAACACTAATAATTATTGTATACAGAAACTACGATTAATATGAACGAAAGAAACAAATACTCGGAAACAAATAGAAATATAATTGTAAAAAGAAAAAAAAAAATTATTATTGACACTCGAATAATCGATTTAAAAGCAAAAAGACATGACATCTCATTTTTCTTTTTTTATATTTTAGATATTTTGACTATTATCCAAGCGTGGATTCACATTTTCTGCATGAACGGTTTACAAATTTGTTCGGTGATAACGATTGGTTACCGTACTTCCGTCCTTGACATTATTTCGATTCGATGACGTTTGCGAGAACAAACTCCTGTTTACAGGGGAGAACATCGACGATGCACGATGCAACTGCATTTGTCCTCGTCCATTTATACATAGGTGTGTGCATCAACCTGCATACATACTGTTTTATATAAACACATACAAAAATATATACGTATACATACATATATATATATATACAAATATATGTATAAACATTTATGCACATAGTTATCGTTCACATTGTAGGCGTCATACATCGAGGATAACGAGGGAAGTTTTGAACGTGCGAACTAGAACGATAGGTCTACCGTACACCTATCTATTCTATCCCTTTCCGTTCTTGTCAGCTTGAACACGAACTTGCGAAATGGATTTACCGACTAATACAATCCTTTATTGATGTTTATATACATGTGGTAGTGCTGTATTAACAGTTGGGTTCGTGAAAAAGATTGAAAATATCATGGTAAAGCTAGTATTGTTCTAAGGACTTTGTTCTTTACGCAAATACGCAATTGTTCTTTTAATAATGAAAAATGGAATTTGTAGTATTTATAAATTTTGTTTCAAATTTAACCGCCTGCGCAGAACACCTTGCGTAGAAGGAGTAAAGTAACTTTGCCTTATATCATTTGGAAGGGGAACTTTCTACTTATGAAAACTGACAATATATAATATTGTTGTTACTACAAATATGTATAAATGAAATTCATCGTATTTTTTCTCTTTCTCTTTCTCTTTTTCATTTTTCATTTATTGTTACTTTTTTTTCATCCCTAGTCGACGCTTTTTGTTTTACAATGTACGTACTACGTAATAAAAATTGCACTGACATTTACGCATCAATAAAGATTAACGTGTTGAGTAAAATGAACGAAACGAAAAATAAATGTACAACTGAATTGTGGGAGAAAAAAACTGTTGAAAATGTTCAAGTTAAAGGTACATGCTTAATGGTGCGAGAAAAAAGCAAGACAGATGACAATGATTGATGAGCCTTCTTCTCTCATCCTCTTCTTTCCGCATGAAAAAATTGTTAGCTTTCTTTCTTCGTGTAACAGGTAATTAATTCATGCACTGACGTGACGAAAAAATTACTTTTATTTATGATTGAATATAATGAAACAATATGTGCACATATTTAAATTTATTTTGATTTTGATTTACGTAGTAGATTTAATTTAAATTTATTATAAAAAACAATGTGTGCACATAAATTATTTAAATTAATTTTGAACTTGATATGCGTAGTAGTATATGTAGCCGAATTGGTACGAGGGTAATCGTCAATTACCGAATTTTATTTCGATGAAGATACGAATTCAAATAAATGATTAATAATTGGTATGAATATGAATATTAATAATAATTACAATTAATATTTTATTAAGATTTTTTTTGTTTGGTTTAGAAAATTTCGTTTAAAGATCTATATGTTTCTTTGGTAGGATCAAGTGATAGGGATCAACGAGGGCATATGTCTTCGAGGAGGTTAATTTGGCCTAAATTAAAGTGGATTCTCCTAACGAACTGGAGAGAGCGCGAAAAGGATGAACAAACTCTTCTCGTCAAGTAACCAGAGTGCATAGGGTACGTCATTTGCCTGGATTACTTCAGATCTAATAATTCATAGTTATTCATGCGAATTCTAAAATTTTATTCCCATTAGGTCAGTACTGTTCAATATTTTTCAGTAATATTTTTAATAAATAATCAGTATTCATATTTAATAAAATTAGTTAGTATTATAACAATTAATACATCAAATTTCAATTTTCATTAAAAAATACTTGTAAATATAAAATTTGGTTATTGGACTTATTAATAAACAATATTTTGTTATGAATATAATTAATTATTTATATCGAACAAAATATTCATATATATATACTGATTATTTATTTAATACAATATTTATTATTAATCAATAATAATATTCATGCCAAAGAAAAAGTTTTAAGAAATAAACATTCTTTCCTATCAAATTTAAAAAAAATAAAATCATCTTAATTAATTTTACATTTATTTTTTAGTTATAATATATAAACAACCTATTAATAAATTACATACATGTAAATAATTTATTGTTAAATAATTCTTCTATTTAACGAATTAATAGACAAATATA